GAGGGGGTGGGTGGTGATCTCAGGGTCCCGGAAATACGGTGGGGATACTCCTCGTCCCCCTCCTCGTCCAGACGAGGCGCGATAGCCAACGTTTTCCGTTGTAAATTTCCCCAAAGCGCGAGTGGGACGTAAATCGATCAGACACTGGCTTCGCCTCGCTGTGGATGAGGTTTTGTTCGTTTTTGGGCCCTGCTCCTGTACAAGAGGGAATCGAGGGGCCTGATGAGTCACGGACGGTGCCCCGCGGCGAGGGTCCCGCCGGTTCTCAACCTCTCCACTTTACGAACTTTTAATGCGTCTCTCGGTATAAAATAAAATCTTTTATTAAATCTAAGAGTCGAAGCCTTCTTGTATCGTCCACCCCGTTGTCGAAATAATCTTTTCGAAATAATCTCGAAATAATAACGATATATATATATATACGATATATATAAGGAAAAAAAAATTGTATTCTCCGTCTAAACCGTAAGACTAACCGTAAAATTCGGATTTTCCTCGAAAAAGTCGTTTCGCCGTTACGTTCATCCCGACGATCCCCGCGAGATAATGCGTCCCTCCGCGAGAAGAGAAAGCATCCCATTAAGAAGAAAAGCAAATATTTGACCGTGTTGACAGCCACACGAATCTCACGATCCAACTGCTCGCAACTGTTAGCGCGTATATATACACCCATCGGGAGATAACCGAAGGAAAGGCAACGGCTGAGAACCGGCCGACGATAGCCAGGGGTTCGGGTACGTTAGGAACACGTGCAGTCTCGAACGGTCCAGGTCCCCCCTGTAAACGTGTTCGTGTTCAGATGGTACCGTACGGTTGTGTGAGTTGAGATATAGGAGGCTCCCTCCCTCCCTCTCTCCCTCTCCTCCCTCCTCCTCCTGCACAGAGCCGGGCCTTCCTTCTTCCTTCTCCCTCCTCCGCCACCCTCCGGACCCCGGTGTGCCCCTAAGTTATATTCGAAAGGGGAGATTTGTATTTGTGCATTCGACGTATTGTTTGTGTAGGTTGCCTCCCCTGGCAGGTTAGCCACCTGTTGACTAACCTGAACCTTAGGTTTCTGCCCACACAAACCCCACGACGACCGAGCGACGATAGTCCAAGCCGATGTGTTTTTAAACTACCGCCCCTCCCCTCCCCCTTTCTCAATCTTTATTTTGCGGGCATCGTGGGGTTACAGACCTCTTCCACCGGACCAACGCTCGGACTTTCTCGCGTTTTTCGAATTGATCTCCTTTTCGATTAAAGAGGAATGGCGAGCGAGTTCAATTTTGATTCTTTTTCTTTTTCTTTTCGAAAGAGTACGATTACTCGAGATTGTGATTTCTTTCCTTTTTTTTTTTTTTTTTTTTTGAAACTCTTCGAGGACATTTCTCCAATTCATTCTTCCAGATTGTAATATTGAAATTTTCGAGCAGAGATCAGAGATCGAAGCGCATTCGTAAAAGAATTCTCGATCGTGGAAAAAAGCGGAAGATTCCCCGATTGATTTCGAGGTCGTTGAATAAATAACAACCGACCGTGTGTAACATTTTTTCCCATCTTATCTCTCTAGGACTCCGCTTCGCGATTTATCGCGCTTCCATTATTATTGACGACATCCTCGGGACACCGGGACTTGGAGTATCCAGGAAGAAGCGGGAGAATGCAAATCGATCGGCCACTTCGGCGGAATCGAACGTGATTCGATTTAGAGACGCGGAGAAAGGGAGGGGGGAGAAGGAGACAGAGACGAGAGGAACAACGAGTTCCATCTCCTCCGTTCCTCTATCTTCCTCGATATCCAATAGAAGCCAGGATGAATATCGTATAGACGCGGCTCGTACATCATCACGGAGGAGTGGATTTACGCTCGAAGGTGTGACCAGAGGGGAGAGAGAGAGAGAGAGTGAGAAAAAGAGAGAGTTGTGTGTGTGTGTGAGAGAGAGAGAGGGGCTCTATACTCGGTTTCCTATAAATCTAAACGCGTGTTCCTCGGGCGATTCGGCCCGTTATCGGCTCGTCGATTCTCCCATTCGTTCGCTCATCACGCGTATACACGGTACACGAAATAATACGTAGGGGACCCGAGCGGTGGTTCGGCCTCTCGAAACAACAGTTACCGCTCGCTTGCGACTCGGTAGCCACGATGTGCTTGCTTTTAACCGTCGCTCGTGAGATGCGTCCGCGTACCAATCGATGAATGCAAATGGTGGCTCCTTAACGTAACGCTCGAAATTCAGGAAGGAATCGAAGGAATCGAAGGATCTGGAGAACGAGGGAGAGGGAGTCGCGGTGGTGTACAGGGTGTTCCTCTTTATTTTTCGCGTGTTTCTCTTTCGTCTTCTTTTGTATGGAGAAGCGTTTCTCTCTTCCGAAGTTTTAAACAATCATTGCCTGTATATTTCAATAATTTCATTCTTGATTCTTGTTTCACTCGCGTTGCGAGTAAATATTATTCGTATATTTAAGAAAGAAAGAAAAAAAAATAAATAAAAAGCTATTACTCCGCTTCAATCACGCGTAGATGAAAATCTATACGTATGAAATGTTTGATTTGGATCGATCTTTTTGAAACGTGAAATTAAAATTGAATTATTCCTTCTTGGACACCCTGTATGAAACGATATCTGTAGGAGTCGGACGCGACCTTAGTCCTTGTCTACCGTGGTCGATACAATCTCGACGCAACGAAGATATCCGCCTCGGAATGAGATTTCCATCCGGAATTGCCGCTGGCCCGGTTCCAGCTGAACCTTCGGCTGCACCTAGCGGGCGACGACGGTTTCTAACAATCCTGCAAATCGATTCAAACGTATTCAAACCTATTCCACGGATCGGTGTGTGTGTATGTGTGTGCGTATGTGTGTGTGTGCGTGTAACGCGTTACACTGTCACAGTGCCATAATAGCTCCTCTCGCGTGCGCGGCTACAATAGACCTCGTTGTCAGTGTTTCTCGCATTAAGTCGACTGAGCTCTCTCTCTCTCCTTCAATCGACGAAGCAAGAGAGAGAGAGAGAGAGAGAGAGAGAATGGCAGAGACCTTACGAGGTTACTCGCGGAGAGCTGTTCTAGGAAATGAATAATTAACGCCTGTTGTGCCACGGAATAGATACCGATACGAGATATACGGGAACTGGGGGATGCTTAAGCGTGCCTTGGGAAATTGAATGTCACCGATTGGCTCAGAATTCGCGAGGAGATCGTTGGGAAAGGACCAAGTACTTGTCGTAAAGTTAGTTTACAGGAAATTGTACGGTCTGCTCGAATTTTCCTTACAATGCAATATTGCTTCAATCGGATACATTCAGTCGCTTCAACGAGTCTCATAACGATATATAATTTTTCTGGAAAATTTCGTAAACATTAACGCCTTTGTAATCGATTGATTGTTGATTCGATTTTTAAATATCGTTTCTTAACAAGAAACAAGGAGATATTAAATTATTTGGAAACAAAGATTCTTCTTTATTCGCTCTATCTCGCTTTGCGTAACAGACCAGGAATCACGACCGAGTCATCACGTCCGATGAAATCAAAGACACAGCTTTCTGATCGCGATCAGGGCCTAATTTCCCGTTTCGTTATTCATAGGCCGGGACGCGTCTCGGGTTTGCCAGGTTTACGGCTAATTAGCGGCTCGATCTACTTGCCAACGATCGGGTCGGCCAATAATTAAGTCGGCCAGGATCGCCGCGGCCGTCGATCGCGACCCTCTGTCCGATAATTGCGGCTCAATATCGCCCGCTTTAATACCGAGCCGTGCCGGAAGTAAAAGCCGCGAGAGGAACGTTCATCGGGAATTAATGTATTTCGCGGCCGCTAATTGCATTATTCACCGCGCGCCACCCCTCCTTCTCTAATCTCCACCGATCGCATCGGCCCGCGTAATCGACATCCGCGGATTATTTCGTTTCATTGCACTCCTCCACTGTTCCACGCCGCATGACGTTGCGCAATTGTTTCTCTCGTAAACGATTCGTAATCGAGTTAAAAAATTACTCGAGTTGTTTAAGATCTTTTGTTTCCTTGAGATTTTCGATGATCTTTTTTATTAGTTTTAGTTTGAATCAATTTGAATTATTTAAGATCCTTTGTTTCCTTGAGATTTTCGAAGATTTTCTCTGTTAACTTTAGCTTGAATCAATTTGAAGATTAGGAAATCGAATTAAAAATTTATCTAGGAGTTATCTAGGATCCTTTGTTTCTTTGAGATTTTCGACGATCCTCTCCCTGTTAATTTTATCCTCCCCTTGAATCAATTTAAAGATTAAAATTAGGAAATAGAATTAAAAATGATTCGAGTTATTTAAGATCCTTTGTTTCCTTGAGATTTTCGATGATCTTTTCTATTAATTTTAGTCTGAATCAATTTAAGTTATTTAAGATTTTTTATTTCTTTGAGATTTTCAGTAATTCTTCCTGTTGTAACTTTAGCCTGAATCAATATGAAATCGAGTTAAAAATGACTCGAGTTATTTTAGGATCCTTTGTTTCCTTGAGATTTTCGAAGATTTTCTCTGTTAACTTTAGCCTGAGTCAATTCGAAGATAAAAATTATGAAAAGTCGAGGATAATAAAATTTGTTCCAATGTAGATCTATTTATTTGCAGTTATAGATAAGTATCTACGTAGAGTGAGAAGAATTGTTTAAGAATCTTGAGAAGAAAGATTTGTAGGAAATAGGTCGACTTTGCACATCCGATTCTTGGCGAGATCGATAAACTCCAATTCGTGATATGGGATCGGGATATTGTGTGTCTGCGGCACGCGAGTTCATAGGTCATGCCGATGACGTTTGATGGACGCGCGCGGAATAGGTATGTCAATTTCTCTAGGGATGTCGTGCCTTCGGCTCTGAAAGGGTTAACCTTAATTGTACGCGGCATTATCGACGCACCGCGTCGTGAGTAATCGTCGAAAAAAATCCATCGTCTCGTTACTTTTTCATTTCGAAGAAAAAACGAGCGGCAAAGCAACATTCCTATAAACCGTATTCCTATAATAAATTCCCACTACGAATGGAAAGGGATCGAAACGTCGCGTCGCGGTCTGTTAATCCGCGACAATTATCTTTAGTTGAGTCACCGTTTCAGGAAAAATCAGCCGGCTGATTAACGAGGAACTTACTCTATCCTCGCAATCCTCGCCCGATTCTCTTCTCTTTTTTCCCTTTATACTAAAGAACCTTTTCCAATATCGAATTACCCATAAATATTACGTCAACTATTTCCAACGCGTTTCGACTATCTTTCAATTTCATTAAAGATCGACAGATTTTGATCGGGTAGAGATAAAAGAGATAAAACATTTTTTTTTTTGCAAACACCAGGCATAATAATGCACAATACCGTTACAATATGTTTCGACAGACGTAAAAAGAAGCTCGAGATTCAACTTTCCTTTGCCTCTCTTTTTCTTCTCTGCGAGCCAACCGTCCGATCCAAAGAGGACGACGCAATTATCCGCGGATCCAACGAGAGAAGCGCCTTCGTTCGGCGCAGTTTCCCTGCCCTCGCTCACTCGGTCGCCATAAGTACCCCCCTCCTCCCATAAGTTAAAGCGTTCCAATGGATTTTTCAACGGGACAACCTGCCGCGGAAGCCTTCCATTTGTGACGCGTTGAACGCGGCAACGATCCATCATCCGAGGATTGGCGAGCAAGAGGAAGGAGGAGGGGGTTGGAAACGCGGAGAGAAAAGGGCCTGTGTCTCTTCCGCGCCAAGAAATCACTTAAACGGCGCGGAACGGTAGGATCCGCCGCGGCAAATCCGCATAATGGCCGGATCGTAAGGAACGGCTCCACCAACTTACGCGTGATTTATGTTTTAATCACGGGTTTACAACGGGGCCGCGCGCGCTTCGCCCACGTACCTCTTCCACTGCTTTCAGCCTCGCATAATGGTAATAATGGTGGAAAGACGGACACACGCGCGTGCTATCGGTCGGAGACTCTTTCCTGCCGAGAGAGAGAGAGAGAGAGTTCGAGTTTTCTCCGCAATCGTTCCCGTTTTTCTTCCTCTTCTCCCTTTCTTTGCGTTATTTGCATAATCGAAACGGTAAAGTAATAATAATGGATGAGAGAGAAAAAGAGAGAGAGACTTCGAAATTGCATATCTCAAGGGGAAAAGAGGAAAAGAGGTACGATTTCGTAAATTAAATTTGATTTTACTTAGGAACGCGATCGACAACTGGTGATTAGGAAACTTTTTTAGGTAAATTCTACGACACGAGAAAATGCGCGAGGACTTTTTCTATTCTCTTAAGCACGAGAAAACTTTGTATTTTATCATACTTACGCATCTATCCTTGGAGGTATATATTTTTCACACGAGAGATTAAATTCGAAAAAGATATAAAATTAATCCTCTTCTGTATATCATTAACTTTTTACGTTTGAATCACCGTTCAATCTTCGTATTTTTACGTCGATAGAATTGTTCGCAGCAAATGTTACAATCAACCTTTTAAAGATACTTTTTGATATCTTTTTCGTAACTATATTTGCAATCATTCTCGAGAAATAACGCGCCATCACGTTTGTCGCACGGAAATAATCGTCGAATCGCACGAGTTGAGTTGCGATTGCACCGTTGTTGTTGCGTTGTTCCATTAGCGTTGGGAGGAACACCGTGCCGAAGGGAGCGATCCGCTTCTTCTTGGAACCAGAAGCCGCGATCTTCGTGTAATGTAGGCCAATCACGTTTACACCACGAGCGTTCGAAGCGATGTTTTGTTGAATTATCCGGCTGGTGCCGCGCGGAACCGTCCGGCAGAACGTGGAAATTACGGTGGCGGGCAAAAATCTAGCAAGTCGTGGCGCGAGGGAAGAAAGATCAGTTCGTGCACGACCTTTGCGCTGCTTTTTTCGACTCCCCTTTAAATAAATGATTTCGATAAACGATCGAAATTTAGATTTAGGTTTCAACTGGAAGGATCGTTATTTTAATATCCGAGCTCTCGAATCCGTTTCCTTTCTCGCGGCACTCGAACGGGCACGAATTGTACAATATCGCGGAAAATATTGAGAAAGAAAGAATTTTGACGAAGAGAAGAGATGTAAACAAAGGGAGAACGTAACGTAAACAGAGTTGGAATGCGAACCAGGCAAAAACCAAGAATAACAAAGCAGAAAATAATTCTCGGAGGAGCTCATACGTTTCTTGGAAAAGTTATTTACCGGTGATTATTCAACGATTACCGGCCAGTTTTCTTGCGCAATTCCTCCACTCCTCGTTACGATATTTTCCAACCCAAATCTGGAATTCCAACTGTACCGTCGAAGAAGAAAGAAACGAAAAAAAGAAAGAAAGAAAGAAAGGAAACTAAACGTACAATCTAGGCACGATCGTAGCACGAGGCAATATGGCTGTTAAACGATGACAAGAAAAAAACGCAATAACTAATTACGCTCTCCTTGTTCCAAGGCAAAGAAAGGTGAAGGAGCAATCCTGGTTTTTCTTGCTGAAACTTCGAACGAGCCCGATCAATTTCTCAACGATCCAACCATGACAAATGACAGGCATCCGCGGCGAGTGGCTTATCCTCACAGTATCGAGCCCACCAATCCGCCCGATCCAGTTTACATTGCACGCTCGTTAGGCGAATGATAATCCGCGACGCTCGCCTGCCGGCCGCCTCATAGATAACCCGTCCACGATTCGCTCATTATCACGCTGCGCCGTGCGCCGATCATACGTACTCAAACCGCATCCAACGTTCCCCACCTCTCGCGCCTCTCACCGATGCCTCTCGTGACGTACATAATTCCGCGGAACACGTACTTCATAGAATTC